AGCAGGAAAAGCCCCTTTTTTGTTTGAATAGAAATAATTTTTCCTTTGGCCTTTTTCTTAGCCCGGTCACCAAATGAAATTAATCACTTTTATAGTTTCATGCACATTGAGATCATAAATAATGGAGTACCTAAAAACCATTGTCTTCTGGATCAGTAGTCTGCTGTACTAGCACTAAGTGTACTTTTCAGGTATGTTAATCTATTATCTTTGTCTTTAGAAAGCTTGATGGAGAGAGCAATCCTATGAATTTTAAAGCCTTAAATTAACTATCAACCTGGTCTTGCAAAACAGTAGTAATAGTGAGTAATGCTTTTTGCTGTGAATAAGACTTGTACACTAAATTGCAGGTTACTTTTTTTCTTCCATAAGTAATTTCATGAATCCATTATTATTATAAAGAAAAAAACCCTAAATGAGTGGAAATACTTATGCATCTCATTTTTTTTTCTTAGCTTTTTTGCTTCTCTGTTTACATGAAGTAAGCTGGTCACAGACATGTGATGTTCCCAGGGAGGTTCTCATGAAGCAACTGGGGTTGAACCTCATGCCAGACATGTCTATTTTCATTTCCCTAGGTCTGAGACATTCTAGAAAAAGTCTTTACTGGTTGAGATTTGCATTACACTTTTTCAGGTATGAAAGAAGTGCTAAAATTGTGAGATCCAGCTTTCTTCTTTCTCCAAGGCATCCTGTTGAGAGGCATCTTCTCTATAGGTGGAGTTTCATAGCTGTCGTTTCGTGTTACCCACTGTGGTGGGTAAATATGATGTGACTTTTGAAATACGCAAAGCACAAACATACTGTTTGTAGGTTTTAGGAAAACCTGTTTTAGAAAACCTCTTCTTATCACTGTAACTTCATACACTTTTGCAATAGCTAATAAACTGTGCAATTTAATCTCTTGGAAGTCTAATCACTCAATTTGTTTAGATTTTGATTAGAATATTTTGATTTCCTACGAATCTTTTTTTAATTCCCCTTTTGGGTGTATTCTTCTCTTTGCGGTGGTGAATTTTGTGATTTCTGAATAATCTTTATATGAGCTGTTCAAATGCCTATGTCAAAGGGTTTTCCCACAAAGTTCACTGTTAAGTTGCTGACATCTGTCTAAAGGTTTAGTGCTGCTGAAATGAGGTGCTGCAATCACTCCTCTCCATCTCTGCTGTATGCTGGGCTTCTAGCAACCATGTATTTAGCCAGTTTAATTTACTGAGCAGAAGACTGTTTGCTTTAGCAACCTGGTTAGTGAGCTGAGTTGGCTCAGTGAAGAACCTGTTAACACCAGAGTTGTGATGGAGCCACAATGTGGAGCTGAGAATGGCTAGGGAGTGAGAGCAGGACCAACTCCTGCTCTCTAGGCAGCTCTTAGATCAGTTAAGTCCTAAAGTGCAATTTCTGTGAGTATGGCACCTTTAATAGGAGCCGATTTTGTTGCCTTCCTGTTGGCTCTCCCCACCTTGTTCTAGCATGGTTCCTTGTGAAAGAGAAACTGTAGACTCACAGAAGAGTTTAGGTCGGAAGGGACATCTGGATGTCATCTGGTCCAGTTTCAGCGCAAATCGGGGCTAACTTCAAAGTTTTCATGAACATTAATGTAACTGTTGATGTAGCATCTCCAGTGGTCTATGTCTAGAAGAGGCTGAATTGTCATTTTTTCTGAGGCATTTAGTGGCACTGGTGATTATATAAAATCATAATTAACAAATGTAGAAAAGATGTTGGAACTCCTATGACTTAGAACTGATCTTTTTTCTCTCTGTTAGTGGTCTAGATTCTTAGAAGTATTTCATTACATATGCTAGATACTTGAAATTAGACTCAATTTTATTTTTGTTCCACACAAGGTGAGCATATATCATAAAATACTAAGCCCTCCTAAGGGCTTTTTTTTAGTATTCGTACATATCACATTACATTATGTCATAACAGACTGACATAATCAATTTTTATGAATTCTTGAAATCATTTTGAATTTTCTATATAATAAATTTAAAACTTGGTTGGTGCAACATGCATTTGTGGCTCAACTAGTGAAAAAGCAGCTTATAAATTCTGCAGCATTTAAGGCAATAAAAATGAGTTCCCAACAGTCTTAGAGGAGGCCAGTCTTATTCTTCTTTCAAAAAGGGGAAAAAAAAACCTTTAGAGGTGAGGAGGATTTAGGAAGTTGCAAAGGAATCTGATACGTTCAAAGCTGTTGCCAATTTTACTCCGAGGAGGTTAAACTGCAGCGCAGTGCTGTCACTTCCACTTCATGCTACTTTGAGAATTTTTGCTCCTGAGTCGTAGAAAGGATGGGATTTGAAGATCATTTGAAATATGTAGGCATGTGAGTAAAGAATGAGGGGAGAAGAAGCTACTCATGAAATTCCAGTCTTAACCAAAGGAAAAAAAATCGTCAAGAAATATGAGTGATTCTTATTTGCAGTAGAGGGAAAGTTAAACTTTCCCTCTGCTACCTGAAATCATGAATAGTAGACAAGCATAGTATTCATAATCTCTGTTTAGTAGGAGGACAAATACTTGAACCTCTTTTGGAATTGGGTTACTGAAATACTGAATTTGGTATTGATGAAATGAGTATGTCTTCCTCACTGTTTGACTACTCTTGCCAAGCGCTAACAGCCATTATAACTCATTAGATATGTACCATAACTAAAAGCTTTACAAAAGGTAATTGCAAATCTGTAGTCCCTTTTCCATAGGAAAGATTTCGGCAGAAAGGATGCAGGTAGATGTGTGTTATGCCATCCAGTGATGCCTCATTGCTGCTCCTGGTGTAAAAATGATGGAGTTGGAGCATTCTCTTGCATTGGATCACAGCACACACTCCTGGATGGAGGACAGAGACAGATGCTTTATTATCCCCCCAGTAAAACTTTGCCTGGAGTAGGGTTGGCCAAATAGATCAATAAAAGATAGAGCAAGAACTTGAGTTAAGGGTACTTACCCAAGGAGTATCACTGGAGACTGTAGTATGTGCGAAGACACTGGCAGTAGTTCTAAGCAAGCTAGCTTTGGTATCACGTGCGTGAAGTTTTGTTGCCCATCCTAAGAATGCTGCTGCAGCCCAATTTTTATCTCATTACATTATGGTCTATTTACTTTCTCTTCACTTTGAGTCTTTCTGTTATATTAAATCAGACAATGTAG